AAGTGTCCATCAACAGATGAATGGATCAAGAAGATGTGGTTTATCTATACCATGGAATACTACATGGCAATGAGAAACAATGAAATCTGGCCATGTGTAGCAACATGGATGGACCTTGAGGGTGTTATGCTGAGCGAAAACAGTTCCTTTCTAAAGAAGGAGAGAAAGGGGCTCCTCAGTGGCTCAGTCAGTTGGGCATCTGACTCTTGATTTTGGCTCAGGTCATGATCCCAGGGTCGTGGGATGGAGCCCTGCATGGCAGGGCCTGCTTGGGATTCTCTTTCTCCCTCTGTTCCTCCCCACCTCAAAAAAATAAAAATAAAAAACAAAAGAAGGAGGGAAAGGTGGAAAGAAGATAGGAAGAAAGAGAAAAGAGGGGAAGATGCAAAAAAGAGAGCTAACTAATATATGAATCAACTTTCAACCTCACTATTAATCAAATAAACAAAAAATCAAAACAATGATGAAAGCCTACATTTTACTAAGCAAAATGGCAAACTTTTTTTAAACTTTAGATTCTTTTTTAAAGTTTATTTACTTATTGAGAGAGAGAGAGAGAGAGAGAGAGCAGGGGTGGGGCAGAGAGAGGAGAGAGAATCCCAAGCAGGCTCCACACTGTCAGTGCTAAACCCAATGTGGGGCTCGAACTCACAAACCATGAGATCATGATCTGAGCCAAAATCAAGAGTCGGATGCTTAACTGACTGAGCCATTCAGGCATTCCAACATTTTTTTTAACTTTTAAATCAAATACTGGTAGAGTTGAAATGAGAAAGACATTCATACAATGAATGCAGAAGTGTAAATTGGAAGGAACTCTCTGGAAGCACCTACCAAAACATTAGTTTTCATTGACTCAAATATTAATTAAGCACCTGTGCTAGTTAGTGTCAAGGAAGCAGCAGGAGACCAGGTATATAGGCTCTTCAGTCACATATAAATGAATAGCTAACCACATGCAAACATTATGTAATGAGTACCTACATTATGATTCGCCTATAGAATAGCATAATTTTATGAGTAGAAGTTGTATTTTGTGTGTGTGTGAGAGAGAGAGAGAGAGAGGGACGGAGAGAGAGAGAGAGTGCACATGCATGAGCAGGGGAGAGGCAGTGGGAGAGAATGTTAAGCAGGCTCCACACTTAGTGCAGAGCCCAACATGGGGCTCGATCTCACAACCTACCCTGAGGTCATGACCTGAGCTGAAATCGAGTTGCACACTTAACCAACTTAGCCACCCCAACACCCTAAAATGTTATATTTGAAAAGCTATTTAATAGCGTAGGAAAATGCTCATGTCATAATGCTAAATAAAAAAGACAAGATAAAAGACCATCAATGAATATATTTCTATATATGTTTGGAAAGGATGACTGGAAAAATATCAAAATATTATGGTTTTCACTGTGTTAGGATAATAGTGATTTTTATTTTCTCTTTTATGTTTTAGATTTTCCATTTTTCTACCAAACAAATGCCAATCTGAAGATATGTATTAACTTTTTAATTGTTTATTATTACTCTTAGAATAAAACTCTTCTTGACTGGTATTGGGGGCCGAGCAGGACCTCTGAATGCTCTCTGACATGGTTGAGCAATTCCCACAATAAGCAATAAGGAAGATACTCTTCTTATCTCCATTTCACAGACAAGGAAACTGAGGAACAGTAAGTCTAAATAAGTGACACAGTCCTGGAAGTGCAGAAGTGGAGTTTAAACCAGGTAGTTTAACTTCAGACCCTATGATCTTAATCACTGTGCCCTTTGTAAAGGGTATGTTGGTATTTGAGTGCTCTTTCTCTGATTCATCCCAAAATATATGTGGGGAGGAGCATGGTAATATTGAACAAAACCTAAATGTAGAGTCCAGTGACTGTGATTTAAGTCCCAGCTTTGCCATTTCCTGATGACCTTGGGCAACTGGCTTCTCCTTCTAGAACCCCAATTTAATTACCTGTGGAATGGGTTTGATCATCCCTGTCCTGGATAGCACAAGGAGTGTGTGGCACATGGCAATGTTCTCTTGCACAATCTGACATTCTCTACAAAGGCTTAGGGACCTCCCTCCCAACCTCATGGGGCTGTGGGGCAGGAGGAATGGCACTCAGGCATGAAAACACCTTATAAGCTTCAGCTCTGCTATACACTGTCAAGTAATTGTTTTTACTCTTTCATATTTCCCTTAGGCTTGTTTTGTTGTTGTTGACCTGAGTCAACTAGGGAAGCCTAGTTTTTCTCCTGTCTCTGCCCCGCTCCAGGCCTCAGTTTCCCTAGTTGTTCAGAAGAGAGAAATAGACTCCTTGACCTCCAAACTCTCCCCAGCTTGGACATTATATGATTCCAAGTGAACATACAAAGGTAGGCGCCCCAGCTCTCCAATCTATGATGAAAACCAGTGCTGAGGCAGGTAGATCCAACTGGGAGAGGGACACCTCTGAGTCAGAGCCAGATTCAGCCCACATCTTGTGAGCATTTTTTTAAAGTTTATTTATCTTGAGAGAAAGAGAAAGAGCTCTTGGGAGGGGCAGGGAGAGAGGGAGAGAGAGAATCCCAAGCAGGCTCCATACATCAACGCAGAGCTGGATGCAGGACTCGAACTCACAAACTGTGAGATCATGAGCTGAGCCGAAACCAAGATCTGGGCATGTAACTGACAGAACCACCCAGGCGCCCCTTGTGAGCATTTAAAAGTGATGATAGATATACCATGCTCAGTAAATGCATCCCCTTCCTTCCCCCTGCATGCCAGCAGGATCATACTGGCACTGGCCCCGGATCTCACTGAAGTGTGGGGTCTTTTTTGCTCATTAGAAAAATCATTAGCAGCTCCTTCTTCAATTAAAACCTATGGTGGAAACAAGAGAAAGATTACTTTGCCTCTATACCACAGTTTCTCCCAGACAGTCCTGCTGTGTCTCATTAAATGTAAAAAGACAGCAGTGAATTGAAACTTGTTAGGGACCAGCATGTCCTCCGGCCCAAGCAAAGGTGTCTATTAGTGTTATCAGCCCATCTGTCCTTCTAGATTTAAACACCAGCTGGACCTGTACTATGTCTTTTATCAAACTCTGAAAATGGTTTCTCTTCTCAGACGCGACTGCCGGCAAATGCAGATCTGGATTCACAGTTCCTGTGCAGCTACTAGCCCATCTCAGGTGTTGGCCTCCACTAGCTTCTCTGTCCCTTTATTTGCTTTTTGATTTGAGCTTTTTCTGATAATTTTAATGGTTCACTTGACATGTTATAACATATTTAAGTCTCCTTGAATTGTCTACAGTGATAAAAATAATAGCATTCCTCCCATATACCCAACCCTTGCAGTATTCTCCAGTTTACCCAACCTGACCCAGACATGAGATGTTATCAAACCTTTCCTTCAAGTATGGGATAAAAATAAGCAAGCATGTTTTCAGAGTGGAGGGTGTGGTTCTTTGAGAAGACGTGAAGCGGCAAAACAAAAACAGGAGCAGTGAAAGCACAAGACTTCGATTGGACCCATTGGTGGATGTTGGTACTGATGGGTCCCCCAAGTCTGGCTTGCTTTGGGCTTGGTTTCCCCCTTAGAATGACTAAAATAATAAGAGTCCCAAACAGATATTCTGGACCTCTGGAGTTTATCATGGAGACTCCTAGATTTTTCTAGATGCTTCCTTTCCCTCCCTTCCCCCCAGTCTACACTTAGCTGTTCTTTGGAATCTACCCAGAAGCCAAGATCCAGCAGGTGAAGGGCACAGGTGTGGACATAGTCTTCTTCTGCTGGCACTGAAGTCCCCTCCCAGCACCAGAGGCATAGGCTGGGTGCAGCATCCTTTCTTTGTCCACCTAACCTGCACAGAATGTTCTTGGGGGCCCTCAGGCAGCTTGCTGTCTGGGAAATGGGATTTCAATGTCACATATTCAGATTCCAAAGGCCACCTGTTGCCCAGGTTTTGATAACGGGTAGCTGAGTCATGTATCCACAGGGAGCAGACCCAGAGAGCAGATCTCACCCCCTCATCTGGTAGCCCTCAGCCAGCCAGGTAGGGCTTCAAATCCCAGCTCTGCCCCTGGATCAGAGGACATGACCCCCTCCCTGACCCTTCTGAGAGTCAAGTTTCTCATCTGTAACAAGGACATCATCCCTCCTGTCTTGTCACTTCTTATGAGGATTGAATGAGAGATGTTTTTAAAGTCCTAAACATAGCACCCAGCACCCAGGGGGTTCACTCAGTCGCTCATATTCTGCCATCAAATGAGGATGGCATGTTCTCCTTCCTCACTCCAGTGACTTCCAGGGATTTGTCACTGCCTCTGAGGAGGCAGAATGGAAGCTGAGCTCCCTGTACCCATCTATGTCATGACATACAGAGTTTGCCTGAGGCCATTGAAGGATATTTTGAGACCAAATTAGAATCTGCTGACGTGACGAAGATGGGGGATGTTGAGAGGAGGAAAGGTTTTGGAAACACTGCTCTGGACACTTTTGTCTCTCCCTGCCTGTGGGTTTGCACTGGCTGTGATGGGAACCGGAGCCAGGCCTCCAGGATGGCTCCGGGCCTCTGCTGGGCATGGTTCGAACACAGGGCACAGTTTCTGGAGGCCAGTCTCTCAGTAAGTCACCATGAGGAGGGACCTCCTGCATACGTGAGCTGGCTGCTTTGGTCACAGGGTGAAGAGAGTAACCAGCATTCATCAGCCCTTGCTCTGGGACAGGCACTTTACTGTCAGGATTTCATCCAATCCTCCCAATAGCTTCACGAGTTAAGGATTATTACTCCATTTTTATAAATAAAGAAATTGAGATTCCAAAAATTTAAGTAACAACATATTGTCAGTAATACAGAAATAGGCAAGGGATTTCAAAGAGAGGGCATGTTATCTGGGGATTTTGTGACACGTGTGTTGGAAAGGCTGAAGAAGCAAATGTGGAGTGCTAAAGTAACCCAGAGATTAGTGACTTCACAAAGCAATTACCACCTTCAAGGACGGAGGAAGGAAAGGGAAGAAGTGTCGCCAGAATCTAGTGAGGAGCTGCTGCTGGGCAGGTGCTAAGCAGATGATGACATGCAGTATGATGGTTGCTCAGGCCACAGACAGGGGTGGCAGCTGGGGACGGGGTGCTCGGCAGGGCTGGCCCGGCACTCTTGCCAAGCATGGTAACAGACACTGGAGAGAAGCATGTAGCTGATGCCTGAGGGATGCTGGACTAGAGGCTGGTAGACAGTCCATTCTCCGTTCTCCTGCCCCCAGGCCCCTCCAAGGCCACCCAGACCTGCTGATCTCCCAGCAAAGGGAGCCTGAGGAGTGTAGTTTGCAGGATCTGGGGCCCCTTATGGGAGAAGAAAATCAAAGTTTGGAACCAAGAGACTATATGTAAATAGGAACCCCACATATCAAGTAAGAAGAGAGCTGAAATCCAACCTCAGTCTGCCTCTCAGGGGTGAAGGAGCACTGACTTGGTGCCTGCCCCATACCAGGCCCAGCACTAGCCCTGGGAATTCAGAGATGAACAGGAGGCAGCCCTGTTCTCAGGGAGCTTCCCGGCTAATGAACATGAAGGAGCAGGGACTCCAACCAGATGCATCCTGTACTTGCCAGGTTCTTCCACAATATCTTCAGGAGGGCGACTTTCTGGAAGGGTATGAGTCTCACTACATGTCCTAAGGCCACTGCTTTGTATCCATATAGATGCCCGTATAGTGGGGTGGCCCACATCCCCAGCTTTCATGAGCTCAGGGATCTGGAGACTGTTGGTCTCTACAGACAGTCTGTAGTCACCTCCCCTCCTTCACCTCCTTCTTCCCAATCCTCATCCTTTTCCTCTTCCTTTCCTTCTCCACCCTCTTCCTCCTCCATCTCCACCCTCTCTCTTTCTCTCACCCCTCCCTTCGGCCTTTGGTCCACAGACGGAGTACAGGGCCGCCCATCAATATGCCTGATGTTACAATATAGTCCATGTTCCCAAAGAGAAACTGAATTCTATCTAAACTTGTTCTAAAAAATTCCAGGAAAGAAACTGGTTGGCCTAGCTTGGGTCAAGTGCCTGTCTTGGATCAACCACCTGGACCAAGAAATCAGGGTCACATAAGCCCCCAGAGGTTGTCAGTTCCGAGGAAATGAGGGCAGTTCTTATAGACACAGAGCGGGGTGGGCAACAGACCACATATATTACACTGAATGACAGCACCACACAGTGTTTAATTGTTCTGTTGGCCATTTCTTGTTGCTACTTTTTAAAGATTATAAATAATGCTTTGGCCTATTTCTTTTTTTTTTTTTAATGTTTTATTTATTTCTAGGAGAGAGAGAGAGACAGCTTGAGCAGGGGAGGGTCAGAGAGAGAGGGAGTCACAGACTGAAACAGGCTCCAGGCTCTGAGCTGGCAGCCAGCACAGAGCTCGACGCAGGGCTCGAACCCACGAACCCACGAACCGCGAGATCATGACCCAAGCGAAAGTCGGACGCTCAACCGACTAGGCCACCCAGGCGCCCCTGCTTTGGCCTATTTCTTAATGCACATGTCTTTTCCACACTTAGACTTGTTTCCTTTATATATGTTCCCAGATGTGGAATATAGCTTAGAGTTTAAGTGGGTTTTTTAATTTATTTTTCGATATAATTTATTGTCAGTTTGGTTTCCATATAACACCCAGTGCTCATCTGAACAAGTGCCCTCCTCAGTGCCCATCGAAGTGGGTTTTTTAAAGATCAGATGATCAAATACCAACACTGACTTTACTATTGTTACTATGGAAACTATTTTCTCTGTTGCTAGGCAATTGGTAAAAGATTAGGTCATGTAGACTGGTATTAAGATACAGACTATCTGTAGAGACTGATAGTCTGGAATACATGCAACTTTTAACTGGCTCTGTAACCTTGGGCAGGTTGTTTGATCATTCTGGCCATTCTCTGTTCTTCCAAACACAGGATAAAAATAGTTTTCCTCGTTAGATTATTTGGAGGGGTAGGGAAAAGCAAATAAAACCATCACGCTGCCTGTTCATCATGGATTTTCAGTACATTGTACTCCTTAAATTATATTTGAAATGTTTTTAAAAGTATAATAATTACTTTTCATCATGAAATTAATACTATTCAAAATAGGCAATTCATAGTCTCAGAGACTAGTCCAACCCACAGCTGTGTACAGATGTTGTCCACCTGAGATGTCTACAGTTCAAAGAAGAGCCTTACCTGACTAGCCAGCATACATGAACTAGGAAAGGGTCAGGGTCAGAGGTCTAAGCAACCCACCTACACTACCAGTACACCACGCTATCTGAATCAGTGACTGCCACCAGATAGCATGCTTGTGGGCCTGATAGTCACATCGAAGAGGTGGAATTAATCCCTCTTTCCTTTGGGTCCCCCTAACACCATGTATTCTTTGCTCAGCCCACCACCCAGCCCTTACTGAGCTTCGTGTTTATATGTGGAAGAGAATGATGAAGCACCTGTGTTCCAGGGTTCAGAAATACACTCACACTCACCTTTAAGACCAAGGCAGAGGCATTTATGCCCAGTGTAAGGGGGGTCAGACACTTTGATCTGACCCCACCAACAGCTCAAGGACTCTACCACCGACAGTATACACATACGGGATGGTCCCCAAATCTGGAAACATTGATGAATACCTAGTAAGTGATTTATATATTAAGACCCATGATAGAATAATATCTACTTCTCCAGTGAATCTCTTCAAAGGAAGCAGTCAGTTTTAACTGAATAGAAGTGTGGTCATTAGACCAAGTCTTGAAAGATGGAGCCATCTTGAAAGATGGAGCCCTCTGGACTAGGGAGGGGCTGGGCATCCCAGATAATGGGAGCAACATGCACCAAGACCCCAAGAGAGGCTGGTCTTTC